CCCCGCCTCTGTGCAAAGAAACAGTTTCCACCAGTCACCTCGGTCAAACCCAGGCCTTCCCCGCCTCTGACCGGGGAAAACATTCCCAAGAAAAGCCAAGATGGCCACTACGAAGTCGGCGCCGGAAATCCCGCCCTCGTCCGCTCCGCAGTGATGTCTACGAGTCCTCCTCTTGGCCCATCCCGCAGCTGTTCGCGCAGAGCTTTGTGGTAAGGGAGTTTCCACAGAGCCGGGTTCCCCTGGGAGCTAGCTTCCTCTAACCTCCCCCCCCCCTATTTTTTTTTTTTGCTTTAGGGCTCCTCCGCTCCGCCGAGAGACAGAGAGATAGAAAGCGAGAAATCATTTCCCAGGGTGGATGACCACGCCGCAATCCTATCTCTTCCATTCTCCTCTTGGTATCTTGGGCATGCACACACATGCACCTGACATGAGTTTAAGCCACCTGGTCCAGGATTAGAACCACGGTCGACTACTTGGGAGTCCAGCGACATAACCATTATGCTAACTGCTGGTCCCAAGACGAAGTTCTTTATGGTTTTAGAAACAGAAAGATAGGTAGATACCAGGGGATGGACGGACAGGATGCGGGGGGACGGACAGGATGGGGGGGACAGTGGGCGTGGATGAGAAAGGAGCCCAGGGGAAAACGCACTTTTGTTTACAGTGTTATCTTTGACTTGCTTCACAGGCAATGCGTGTATGCATTGAAAATAATATTATATGTTGTAAAGACTAGATGTTTTAAAAATGAAATAAAAAAGACCAAGTTATAAGGCAGCAGCACTGGGAAATGGCTTATTCGGGTTAAAGGGTAGAATGCAGGATTCCTCTGGGGGTGGAGGGAATGTGATAACCAGACAGCATGTCTGAGGAGTGCTGTCTGCAACTGATCCAGTGTTTGGAGACATTAGTTCAAGCTCCAGAAAGCTCAGTATGCTCACAGAGGCTAAAAATATTTCAGATGCCCCAAATGCTATAAATCCAAACACACTTATCATTTTATAGTCATTCAGACCCAAGAGCCTCTACTGGTAGGGAAGCCAATAAATGCCATCCTGTTACAATTCAAATCTATGCACTCTCAAGTGTGAAGTTAGTCTGTGTACTGTTAGGGACAAGAGAAAAAAATACTCCAGATGGTGCCATGGCTTTGCTTCTCAAAGATAAATGTTGACCACTCTGAAATAATAGCACAAAAGTTGTGATTTGTGGAATACTGTGTTCAATTTATTGAGCAACACTTGTCTGTTTAATAATTCTTACTGATAACTATGGTTTGAATATGTCCCCCAAAAGTTCATGTGTTGAAATTTGGTTGTATTGTGGAAGTATTAAGAGGATGGAGACTGGGGCCAGCTAGTGGCGTGGTGGTTAAGGCACTGGACTCCCACAGGGGTTACCGCAGCTCAAATCCCAGACTTGACTTGGAAATCACAGAAGGGACTGTAGCATGGCCATCTGCCCTGGGAGGTGATTTGTCACTTTCCCTTTGACTGTTTCTGGTGAGTGTACCCACCCTATAGCAAAAATCTAAAAAAAAATGAAGGGGGGAGATGGGAGACTAAACCTGACTATACATTTGGGAGATGGTTAGGATTAGATAAGGTCATCAGGGTGAGGCCCCTTGGATGATCATGTTGGCTTTATAAGATGGGGACAGACAGGCATTCTCGCTCTTGTCTTACTATGTGATGCCCCATGCTGCCTTAAGACTCCAGAGGCCCCATCAATAGGAACACCACCAAATATGGCTCCTTGACCTTGGACCTTCAAAATTGAAGTAAGTATTAGTTCTTCCAGAAAGCGTGACATTTTTCTATGCAAAAATACATCAAGACTCCCAATTACCCAGTAAATTTTTATTTATAAATTACCCAGTGTGATATCCAGTTGTTAGCAACATATTTCATATCTGATATATACATTCAGTTCCTGTTTCAAATCTAACATCTCAAAACTCCAACCATGAATGAAATGCTATTTTAGTATGGGACAAAGGGAGAAATATGGCCTATTAATAAGAGGGCCAGTGGGCATACATTTGAAGGAGATAAGAAATAAACTATTATAAACAATTATTAAATTCAACTGAGTTGGGGCTGGCAGGTGGCATGGTGGTTAAAGGCACTGGATTCCAACATGGCTGACTGTGGTTTGAATCCTGGACCTGGTGGCTTACTTTCTCCCTTTTCCTTTCCCTTTCTCTCTCTCTAGTCAAGTTAAAGAATAACAAATGGAATTAAATAAATCTTTAAAAAAATTATACCAAGTACATGAAGGTACTACTTTCAAACCTAGACAACAGACATAGGGCCATAATCTTTGAGGGAAAGATGGCACAATAGGTGACGTTATATCTTCCCATCATCCTGCCAAGGCACTTTGCAAATTTACACAGGGAAGAGCAGAGGGTAGACAATGAAACTCAGAGCCCAGGCCGAGGAGGTAATGGAATTGTGTATCTATGTCTTCTTTGCAGGTCTACCCACTAAGGCTGGCTCTCTTGGTCTCTTCACTGCAGAGGTTGAGACCTTCACCTTCCCATCAAAAGTCAGGTATCACTATCCACTGAATCCCATCTTCTTCCACCAGAAGCTGAGTTCCTTTGGGTCTCACCCTAGAGACAATCTTAGGGACTGGCTGCAAGGGCAGGATACAACTAGGACAATTAGGCCCTCTTTGAGAGTGAGCTTTATCTTTGGGACAGAGTCATCAGCCTCCAAGTATACATGCCAGCAGTATCTTGTCCTCATTTTTGGCCTGGGGAACTCTTGGGAACAGAAAAGGTGTAGAATTTCCCCAGGTGCCTCTGGAGTTTTCAGTGGCCTTGAAAAATTGAATCTTTGAGGATTCAAAATCATTATATTGTGATTTTGGTGCCTCCACATCGCGATTTCTTGTGGTGATGGGGCATGTGTTCCTTTGGGGTGGCAGGTGGGACTGGCATGGCAACCATGATTGTGCTTGGGTTGTAGAAGACCTGAAGACTATGGAAATAATGTTAAACAAAAAGCAAATGTTAACAGTTTTCTTATTCAAGTTCAGAATGGTTATAGAGCAATGGAGACAGCTGGCAACACCAACAGCACATTGGCTCAGGAACTGCTAACAAATGTACAGTGTAGTGGTGGTACAATGAGTTTTGTAAAGAAGGCAAGAACCTCAAAGATGAGCGTAGTGGCTAGCCATCGGACGTTGACAGTGACCAACTGAAAGCAGTCATTAAAGCTGACACTCCTACATCTACATAAGAAGTTGCTGAAGAAGTCAACTTTGACCATTCTCTGGGTTGTTCAGCTTCTGAAGCAAAGTGAAAAAGCTTGGTAAGTCAGTGCCTTATCAGCTGACTGAAAAAATAAAATTGTCATTTTGAAGTGTAATCTTCTCTTAGTCTATGTTACAGTAAACCAATTCTCAATTGGATTGTGATGTGTGACAAAAAGTTTATTTTATATGACAACTGTTGTTGACTAGTTCAGTGGTTGGACTGAGAAGCAGCTCTAGAGCACTTCCCAAAGCCAAACTTGTACCAAAAAAAGGTCATGGCTACTAGTGGGGTCTGATCCACTACAACATTCTGAATCCTTGTGAAACTGTTACATCTGAGAAGTATGCTCAGCAGATGGGTGAGATGCACTGAAAACTGCAATGCTTGCAACCAACATTGGTTAACAGAAAGGGCCCAATTCCTTTCCATGACAATACCTTACTGTATGTGGCACAACCAATGTTTCAAAAGTTGAAAAATTTTGTTATGAAGTTTTGCCTCATCTGCCATATTCACTTGACCTCTCATCAACTGACTACCATTTCTTCAAGCATATCAACAGTTTGTTGCAGGGGAAACACTTCAACAGTGGGTTACAGAAGAGGCTTTCTAAGAGTTTGTAGAACCCTGAAGCATGGATTTTTATGCTACAGGAATAAACAAACTTACTTCTCATTGGCAAAAACATGTTAATTGTAATGGTTACTATTTTTATTAATAAAGATGTGTTTGAGCCTAAAAAAAAAAACTATTCTATTGGGCTTGGCCTCTCTTCTGCATCTGCCCCTCATGGATCATGCACACAATGAAATACAAAGAAGTGTTTAAAAAGAGGCAGTTTAGGGCCAGAAAATGGGGTGGTGGTTAAGGCACTGGACTCCCACATGGCTAATCACAGTTTGAGTCCCAGAACTAGTGGTTGAAATTCACACTGGATGCATATGCTTGCATGCCCAAAATCCAGAGAGGAGAATGGAAGAGAAAGTATTTCAGCGTGGCCATCCCCCCAGGTGGTGATTTTGGACTTTCCCTCTCACTGTTTCTCTCTGCCAAGTGCTTGCACCCTATAGCAAAAAACTAAAAAAATAAAAATAGACAGCTTTAGGACTCAGTGTGCCCTTCAAACATATAATGGACATGTCTTGTTCTGGTCAACCCAATAGTATGTATGAATTACCTTTTCTTTGCCTCCCACTTCCCTTAAAGTCCACCCCCTAACTCTCTCCCTTATCAGGCTCCCTAATTCTAGGCCATTATGCACCTGTCCTAATCACCCTAGAGTCAGGTACCAGACAACCAGATACAGTTATGACCCAGAAACTACTCAGTGTATTCAAACTAGCCAATCCTAACCCTGTGTACCTTGCTTTAATAATTTTTTACCATAGGAAACAAAATGGTATTAGAGAGGTTTTTGCTATAGGGTGTGTGCACTTGCCAGAGAGACAGAAAGCAAGAAATCCCCCAGTGGGGATGGCCACACCGCAATCCCTTCTCCTCCATTGTCCTCTTGGGATTTGGTGCATGCATGCACATGCGCCCAGTGTGAGTTTTAAGGTACCTGGTCCAAAACTCAAACCATGATCTACCATGTGGGAATGCAGAGACAACGATTATACCATCCGCTGCTCCCATGGGAAACAAAATTAAGACCCTTGCCCCGGGACCAGTAGTTAGCATAATGGCTATGTCGCTGGACTCCCATGTAGTGGACTGCGGTTTGAGTTCCAGACCCAGTGGCTTAAACTCATGCCGGGCACATGGGCGTGCGTGCCCAAGATCCCGAGAGGAGAATGGAGGAGAAGGGATTGAGGTGTGGCCATCCCCCCTGGGGGGTGATTTCTCGTTTTCTGTCTCTCTGTCTCTCTCTGTCTGGCATGTGCACATGCCGTATAGCAAAAAGCTCTCCCAAAACAAAAAAAGACCCTTGCCCCATTTCTCCCTCTCCTCTGGCTCATGACAAACCCTGGTGCTTCTCCATATAGTTTCCCCTGTGGCATAGTGTATCCCCTCCTCTTAGAAACTGTAATAAACTACATTCTCAATAGTAGTTTTCTGTTTTTGACCTTACTACAAGTCAAAATTTTTCTTAATATACTACATATGTATTTTTTTTTAAGAGGTTTTTGTTACAGGGCATGTGCACTCACCAGAAAGACGGAGAGAGAAAGAGAGACAGGAAGTGAGAAACCACCCCTCAGGGGGGATGACCATGCCACAGTCCCTTCTCCTTCATTCTCCTTGTGGGATCTTGGGCATGCACGCACACATGCCCAGCGTGAGTTTAAGCCACCAGGTGTGGGACTTGAACGGCATGGGAGTCCAGCGACATAGCCATTATGCCAACTGCTGGTCCCAATACACTATATTTTAAAACAGTGTCTCAAAAAGGAAAGCCAAATTATACCTGATCTTAAAATGTTTAAAAATTATTTTATTTTGGGAACCAGCAGTTAGCGTAATGGCTATGTCGCTGGACTCTCACGTAGCCGACTGCGGTTTGCGG